TGCAGGCAAGTGCGCTCATAAACCACCCATCATGAAAGGGGCAAACGTGTTAAGAGAGTCTTCAAAAAAATTCCCAGAAACCGAATGCAGCCTCTCATAACAACACCAGCTGGTAGAGATACAGAGGGTTCCTAGAAGGCTCACCTAGCAGGGAAGTCTGTACTACAAGGGGCCGGCCCTCCAGAAGGTAATTCTGGTGTTTGGAGGTCACCCCTCGTATATATGCCCACCTCCTCAAAACGCTCTTTGAACAAGATTTATAATCTTACTGGGTCTCTCATTATTGAGTTAATAAATCTTTGATGTACCCTCATCCTATATTTATATGAGAGCCATGTTACTTTCTTAAAATTCCATTTCATGCCATGTCTGTAATCCAGTGTTTCTCCCTCCAAAACAGCACCTTGATGGTACTACATCCACGCACCTAGTCAGGTCTGCTTCATCCTACCAGCCAAATAGAATACACTCGACATGAGTGACGCAGACAGTTGTCTATGTGCTGGGAACGGAAGGGCACATGGGGGCTTATTCCTAACGGGCCTGACATTTTCACCATGCGAGTTTTCATGAGTCATCATATATTCCTAACATGGATTTCAAAAGACCATTCTTGGCAGCTGAGTTGGCCAGCCCACCGCCCATCAAGGAGGGGACTTTGAACCAGGTTCCTAGTGCTGACGATGGGCCAGACTGGGGGGCTGAGCTGGTGTACAGGTATTAACCAACACGTCCTCATCCAGGTTTGCAAAAGACACTCAGTTCTGTGAAGTGGCTGAAGTGCTGAGGGGAGTAAGTTTAGGTCTTCCTGCCTGGGGCACTTCCTCTCTGGGCGAAACTGACTGAGCTTCAAGACATCGAACCCATGACTTAGATTTCACTTCAACTCACAAAATGAGCCATTTCAATCTACACAAAGAAGAAGCACAAAGCAGCAAAGAATTTAAAGGATTTGACAAGAAGGCTTTCATTGTACATACTTAACAGGTCACTGACAACTTTTCACACTTTACGGACAGAACTATCTGAGCCATCTTGTGACCCGCACTTTTTAAAACCTCTCTACACTCAGAAAACAACTCTAATAGCTCCGAGAATAGAAGGTGATCTGGGACTTTAGCCTGACCACTGTCTGCCAGGCAGATTTGCTGGCTGCAGGCGCTTCCCAGCAGTTGGTGTCTTCCAGGGAGCTTCATGCTGCGTGTTTTGGAGGACTCGCCTCGGCCTGAGTTGACCCTGGTGCTCCATTTCTGAGCTGTGGACTCAGTATCCACTACATCTGCCACGATCTGGGCTGTGTAGTACGTGAGACATTAGATATGGAAATTCCGTCCTCGGGGTCTTCCTGTCCAGTGGGAGATGGAATACAAAGAACTAAATAACTATCTTTAGGGTAGAAAGTGACTAGTACTTCACAAACATTAAGATCCCACTATGTGCCAGTCAGTGGGCACAGTTAGTAGGCAAGTCAGTCTGGACTTAAAAGAGGTTCAATAAGCAGTTGCTGAAGGAGGCGAAGTAGCAACTGTTGGGCCCCCACTACGGGCCGTGCTGTATGCCAGGCATTTTCTCTTTAATTGCCTCCCCACAAGTACGCGCTTTGGTAGGTAATATTATCCCCATTTTAACAGAGGCTGTGAAATGTTAGGTGACTTCCCCAAGGTCACTCAGAAGGTGAATAGCGGATAGGATTGTCAAGCAGAACCATCTGACTTAAAAGATCCTGCTCTTTCAACCTCACTGCCTTTACCATTAGCATTTTAGGGCACACCCGCCTTCTGTGCTGTTGTGGCTGATTCATTTCCAAACCGAGAGGCCTCAGAGGACGTTGCAGCCTGTTGGCAACAATAACGCATCCACTGCGGGTCCAAGATAAGGACTCGCAAAGCCATTTGGACAACCCGCAGTCTGTGATTAACGATTGGATCTGTCTCTGGCTGTCCCTAGATGTTCTCTAGCATCAACTGTGTGATCCACTTATCTTCTTTCCGATAAAACACAAAATAAAAGGGCAGAGATGAGGTGAAGGGATCAGCCAAAAAACACATATGTGTAACTCTCAGCCACAGACAACAGTCCGGTAAGGGCCAGAGGGAAGGGGGTGGAGGGCAAACGAGGGGGATGGGGAAATGAGGACATCTGTAATAGTGTCATCAATAAAAATAAAGGAAAAGAAAAAATAAATAAGACGAAATTAGCTTTTAGGGTGGGGAAGTGATGTCCAGAGACGGGGCCACAAGCTCCGCCCCCTTGCTTGGGATTCCTCCCTCGGAGCTGGCCAAACACACAAAGCAGACGCCACTGTGCAGCAAAGCAGAAAGGCGGCAGGGCCTCCACCCCAACATGTCACCCTCCCTCCTGTCGCCATTTGCCATAACCCACAGAAATTATTTTAATTTTCTCTTTTTTGCTTTCTTCGGGAAAAAGGAGAATTCGGGACTTCCATTACCAAAGCCTTGAGAGTCAAGTCTAAATTAGTGCGCCATCACAGCCCGAGCCTGCACATCCACCTCGTTTGTACCGCCTCCCCCGGCGCAACCCATGTAGCTTCTGGGCCACCCTTTTCCCTTCTTCCAAGCACCTTGGGTAACTCCAGGCCATCTCCGGGACTCAGCTCAGACGCGTCCTCCGAATGCTCCTCGCCACTCCCCTCCAGCAGCTCCTGTGCGCACGCGCAGCAGTGCCCCTCCGGTGTTCCCGCACACTTCCCCCGCACGCACGTGCAAGATACGCACGTGTACGCACGCACAGTCCTACCCACTGCCAGCTCCCACACCCCTCCACGTTTCCCTGGGATGGAGTTTGCTACATCTCGCCCAGACCTTGCCAGTAAACCGCTCCTCTCCATGCCCGAGGGCAGGAGTCCTGCTACTCCCAAATCCTGAGCGGTCCAGGAGCTCGACAAACCCTGGAGGAAAGGAAGGCCAGAGGGGAAAGAAGACTCTCAGCCCACTGCCCACCCTTCCCGGGCTGGTGCTGGCCTTGGGCCTCTCGTACAATCCTCGCAGTCAAATCTGCCGAGTGGGAAAGGGTGCATCCTGAGGGCAAGCAGACGGGAGGCGATGTTGTTCTCTGAACAAGCTCACACAGAGCCATTGCTGAGGAATGTCTGCAGTACCCAGCAGAGCCCTGAAGGGGACTCAGCTTCTGGTGCTCACACCACGGATGGTTCTGGGCCTGTGTGTGAGGCAAGGTGCAAGGCCGGTCTCTAGAACAGGAGGCCCGGCTCGCTGGAGGCAGAAAATTTCATGTGCTGGATTTCTTCCCTTTCGTCCTGATCCTTGACTAAGCAGGGAAATAGTCACTAGAACAACTTAGGCAGGAGGAAAATACAATAAAATAAAAACTTTTTTAAAAATTTAGGCGGATTTCAGGAACATCTGGCTGTAATTTTAAGCAAAAGTATGCAGGAAGAGGAAGATAGAATAGGACGAAGAAGTCCAGGTAGCGTGGTCTCAGCTTCATTTCCATTGCTAGGCTGACATTTGAAAGGAAGTAAAAATGCTTAAAATCCCCTCTTCTGTCAGCATTGTCACTAAGGTTGGATGGAGCCAGTTCACCACTTTAAAATGCACATTTAAAGCTCATCTGAATGGCTACAGCCATGTTATCAAGCTGAACACATGCGGATCTGAGTAGACAGAAAAATTTTTCCCAGTGTCTGTGGAGGCAATGCTTTTAAACAAGCGCTTTGCAAAGAAAGAGCCATTAAGAAGTACTTTGCATACATGTAGCCCATGAACCTGAAAACAAAAGTAAAATCAGTCCCAAATCGGCAACTCTGAGCAGCAGGCTAGAGAATTTTGCTGGCGTGTGTTGGAAATAGGCTTTGAAGTATAGCTTATTTAGTTTATCTTTCATTTCCTGCACAGCTAAGAGTAGGAAGCATCAAAAATCTGACTTGATCTGGGATGGTGAACATACATATAATATAGAGATGATATATTATAGAACCGTACACCTTAAACCTATATAGTCTTATTAACCAATGTTACCCCAATAAAGTCAACTTTTAAAAATCAGCTTTACATTGCATTTATACAGTTTCCAATAAACTGAGAAAAATCACACATTCTCCTTTATTATTTTACTTCTCTTTTCCAAAGACTGATTTTTTTTATTTAAATTTGATCTTTCCATTCACCAAGAGAATTGTGTTAATCTTGCATTCAATCTGTTGCATCTCAGTTTAGTTTCAAACTGAGAGTTTATTTCATTTCCAGGCTTGTACAGAGTGGTTGGCATCCCTCTATCACGTCTCGCTTTCAGATACAATTGCTTCACAAAGCAGTAAGCCTGCTTTGCAAATCAAACCCTCCACATTTCATTCTATGTACACCCTTCAAGCCCGTAAAACTGAACCTGTCCAACAATGTCCTCCTTCAACTAAAGTTCATCATTGCAATGAATCAGCTGAGCTAAAGCACAGGAATATTCAATTTAAAAAAAACTTATTAAAATAAATATGAATTCCATCTCATTTCATTATTTGCTTTGCCTTATAGGTTATAAAATATGCATGTGGGTTAATATTCTTTGTTTGGGGGGTTTCATTAACATTTCAAAGACTGATAAAAATGGAGATCTCTAAGAAAGTGTTTACACAATTCTAGTGTCTTGAAAGGTGACTCAAACCACAGGAAAGGAGGAGAAGATAACCTCACCAAGAATAAGCTCAGCATTCTTTTCCTTCATGAGCCTGATATTTCAGGGCCTAATAAAAATCAATGAGCAGCCTACAGAGTGCCTTAGCAGCCCCAATACTATTCTTCTCATTTGAGAAATTGGGACTTGGCTTAGCTCATTCACTGTCGCTGATTTCCAAATGCAAGCCCAAGGTTGTCTTTCATCTGGAAATCACGCCGCCAACTTGGTTTAGAATGCACACGGATGAGGCATACGCTTGTCCTCGCCATCCAGGGAAATGCTGGCAGGCGGAAATGGGAGGGCTCCGGATTGCAGCTCGTGTTCATGGACTCTCCTCTCCTCTTCTCCTCTAGTTACCGTGACAGTGGGAGGCCAGCAGCACTTGCTCGGACTGTATGACACCGCAGGACAGGTACATTTTTATCTTCATTTATTATTATCTTCACTCATTTTCATTATCTTGATTCATTCAATAGATATTACCTCTTCTGATCATTGTCTACCCAAATGACGACCAAAGCACATTCTTAATATCATAAAAATATTTATAGCCCTGGCTGGTGTAGCTCAGTGGATTGAGCGCAGGCCTGAGAACCAGAGGATTGCAGTTCGATTCCCAGTCAGGGCACATGCCTGGGTTGCAGGCCAGTTCCCAGCAGGGGACACATGAGAGGCAACCATACACTGATATTTCTCTCCCTCTCTTCTTCCCTTTCTGTCTAAAGATAAATAAATAAAATCTTTAAAAAATATATTTATAATTATAAAGAACTAAACCATTACATGATTTGAGGTGTTGATAGGCAAATAATGATTCATTCACTGATTGATGACTGACAATAACCCAAATAATATATTTGGCCAAGACTCTCCATTCTAGACTCTCCCTACCTGTACCAATTCCAGATCTAGGATTACTAAGTCTGTTTCGCCCATTTTTTCTTGTAATATTCTTTGCCCATCTTTCTTTGAATTGCCTGTGCAAAAGTCCAGAAAGAGGTAAGGGATGGGGAGCCAGGGAGTAGGAAGAAGACGAAGTTTTGGGAGGAAGAAAAGCCAGAACTAGATGTTTTCCAAAAGTGAAGGTCAGTCAACCTCTGAATGGTTAGAGGTTGTCTCTAAATTCTCTAAGATTTTTGAAATATTCTCACTGTGGCAGATACATTTCTTCAAGCCAGAAAACCAGGCCAACCAATGGTGTAAGGCAATGAACTAGAACTCTGAACACTTAATTAGTTAGCACATGCTCTACTTGGATGAAAATGCCACTTTATTTTTCCTTCCTCACACCCTATGCTCCATTATGAAAAGTTTCTAACGTTACAAGCTCATGGTATACAGGGAAAATGGTCAAGCAATTGATCACTGTGGGCCAATTTCTTTGATAGACCCTTTGTTACCATATGTCTTGGGTTACTAATGTAGGCCAAAATCAGCAGGTTGTTTAGTCTTACATCTTAAGTCCTTTGGGGTGAATGTCTGACCATGTTCTTTCCCACTGTGAGTTTCCTGGTAATTGTTATTTATAGTCACACATTTGTCTAGGCCTTTTTTCTTTCACAGTTATCTGAAGATATGTCTTTTTGCCCAACTCGAAAGCTCTATACTAGAAAAAAATAGTAAGTGGCATTTTCTTTGGGATCTCTGTATGCATTTGCAAGGACCACTATAGAAATACCCGAGGAATGTCAAAGGCGGGTGTTGGGCAGGTCTAGGCAGTGGGGAACTTGGAATATCTAGCAGGAGACCCAAGGCTCCTCAGAGCATCCGGTTTCCCCTCATCAGCAGATGACTGTTGGGGCCAGCTCCTCTCCAGACCTGGGGAGCTCACTCACATCATTACCAAGACACGCAACTAGGAAAGGACACCCCCAGACACCCAATACAGAAATCTGGTTTGGCTCCTTTGAACTAAACACAAGGGCTCAGGGCAGCTCACACTTGGCTACTCCTGCACCAGAAAGTATTTCGGCATTAGGGGAATACTGCTCTTTGGGCTGGAGGTGCTTAACTCAATCACATAACCATGGGGCTGTCCCCTTCATCAGGGACTCACGGCCTTAAAGACAGAGGAATTTACATCCTTCTTCCTGACAGCAAGATTTTATAGATGATAAATCCAGTTTAAACAGTTTAATAGGGCAAGAATGATTGCCTGACTCTCTCTGCTTCCCTTGTCTTCTAGAACGTGCTCTGTGCCCCTCAGACCTGTCCGTTCCCCCTGCTCCTATTGAAATCCATGGCAGTTGTTAGCTTCTGTGTGTTAATTGCCCCCAGGACAACCTCCCCAGGCCTCCATTTAATTTCAAATTCAATAAAATGGTTTAAAAGCTCTTATAGAGTTTAATTTTTCTTCCCCACTGCTCTGTCCTTTATAGAAAATAATTTTAAATAATACTAGTATAAGAGTTGAAGCTCTAAGGCAGTGAAAAAATGTCTTCCATCTCCAAATTAAAGAATGACCCAATCCTCTGACAAAGGAGGCAGGGATGATAAAATATAATAACAAATGGGTTATAGGCATTTCTTCAACTTAATTCTCGCTTTAATCCTTCCCAGCAGCTACTTAGAAGGCTCAGAGATAGACAAGGTTCGTACAGGGCCATAAAACATGAGGAAAAGGAATGGGAACATGTCTTACAGTTTCTTCTAGGCCTCACATTCTGTGATTAGGACATTTAGAAGATGAACTCCAAGAAAGCCTAAAAGAAATGCAGTAATGAAGCAAAATGACTTGAGGCTGGACCTAAGGGAGACCTTTCAGCAGGAAGGAATTATTAAATGTCAGAATTTGTTACACTGAAGGATGACAGGTAGTTCATTCTGCAGACCAGTGGTTCTCCAATGTGAACAGGCATCAGGATCACCTGGAGGCCTTGTAAAAATTTTAAAAATTTTAAATTTAAAAAATAAAGAGCCACTGGGCCCCAGCCCCAGGGTCCCTTATTCTACAGGTGGAGCCCAGGAATTTCCATTTCTAACAGGTTTCCTGGTGATTCTGCCACTGGTCTGTACACCATACTCTGAGAACCACTGTTCTAGAAGCTTGTCACTCAAAGTGTGTGAGGTCCCATGACCAGCAGCATCGACGTCACCGGGGATCTGAGCAGAAATGCAGATCTCGGGCCCCACCTACTAAATTCTAAAGTTCAGTTTTAAAAGATTCCCCAGGAGACTCGTATGCACAGTAAAATTTGAGGAGCTCTGCTCTAGAAGTTTTTGGTGCTTGAAGCACAGCTCCTAACATTCGAAGGTCGTAGAAATAACTATTACCCGAGTTGCTCCCCATGGTTCCATGACTCTGCCAGTAAGACTTTGTAACAAATTTAATTTAGAAGCCTTGTCTCAAAATTTCCATTCCCTGCCTCAGGTAGACTCGTCCACCCTCCTCAGTTACAGTCCAGTAATGTTGCTGCAACCACACGGCTAAGGAACATCTGTAACCAACTCAAAAATACACATTGGGACAGAGTCACTAATAAGAAAGAAGTAATCTCAAACTTGATTGCTCCTTGAACCACAAAAAAAGTAATAAGTCTCTGAGCCCTGCTGTGGAGTTCCATCTTGCCGTGAATGATTAGACTTTCTTTCATGAACAAACCAAGGAGCAGTGTCTCTCTTCTTTGTCTTGAGCCAACTGGGGATCAGAGGTGATGAAAGCAACCTCAAGAAGCACAAGGGCTCTGGAAGGTAAAGTGATAGGAACTTGGAACTATTTCTACCCTCCAAGTTACCCCTGAACGAAATCATTTGACCTGGTCTCCACCTCTCGGCCGCACCTCATCAGCCTTGGGCACAACCGCAAACCCCACTGGCCCCACCTGAGACCCACTCCCAGCCTTCACAAGTCAGCCAGGCATCTGCTAAAGACAATTTATAATAAAGTCACATACATATGCTGGCAGCACATGGCAGCTGCTATGCAACTTTACTCTCTCCCCAAAACTCAGGAACGCATTAATATTTGAACTTGGAGTGAAGTCCTTCAAAGACAAAGTCTGTAGAACTCTAGTTCATCTGTTGGGTAGAATTCCAAACATTAGGTTAGGCAATGAAGTGAGAAAACTCCTGTGACTCTGCTCACTAGCCCTCAGCTCACACGGGGGAGGCAGTGAGGCCAGGCCTGTATACCAGATCTCTTTAGGTCTCACCAGCTCATCCCTTTCGGCGCATGTCCCTTGGAGCACATGACTGAAAGTCTCTCTCAAAGGGATCTCTAGAGTTCAGAGCTTTGGCTCAGCGACAAGGAGTCCGAGAGCCGACTTTTCCATGACGTGCTCACAGGCCAGTTTGTTTAGAGTGCATCATGAGGGACCAAGTGAGAGCAAGGTGCTGGGGTGGGGATGCTGGAGCAGAGCCTGGGCACTGGCCGGGGGAGGAGTGCCCCACGAGGAGAGGGGTCTTTCCCAGGTCACAGCTCTGAGCCCGGCACCCTCCCACCCCCTGCTCAGTATCTGGGGTTGGAGCCAGCCGTGGTACTAAGCCGTCTTGCCTCCTTCTCTGACTGCACCCTGGCTTCCAGGAGCAGTGTGGGCAAAGCCCTGCTCGAACCGTGGCCTCTCAGGCCAAACTCCAGGATGGGCATATCTCAAAGGCAACATTTGCAAAAGTGGTAGTTAGTGGCCCTGCCAGGGAGGAACAAGAATCTTTTGGTGTCAGGGGCCTGGTTTCTCAGCAGGGTAATCCCCTGGAGTCCTCTGCACACCAGCCCCACGGGGAAAGCACTCAGTGGTGTCTGTCACCGAGAAACCACGGCCCACAGCAGCTTAGCTGTCACCAGTGACAGTCAGAGCACGGGAGCTGGAAGGCCCTCGGCTGCTCCCCTCAGCCAGGGCTGCACACGGCATGTCTTCTCCGTGCCTGATTTCTGAAGCCCCTCATCCCCAATGTACTGAAGATACGTGGGACCAGGCAGGGGGCAAGTGCATCTGGGGTTCATTACCGACAACCCAGGGTCCACGTGGAAGGACGCCAGTCTTCCCCTTTGTTATTGGCTCACCCGGTGAGGCCATCTGGAGCACAGAACCTGGTGTCAATCCTTTATGGAAAGTTTGCCTAAAACCTCCAAGTACGTGTTTTTCCTCGGCGGAAAACTCACCCTTTCTTGCTCACATGCATCGGAATGTGGTTTGGGAGGTGTGCAAATTGGGGGTTAGGAAGCAGTTTGCCCATGAGACAAGTTATTGGTGAAGGTAACCATAGGACACCGTCTTACTTTTCCCTTAATTAAGAAAAATGAATCAGTAGAACATTATCAGAGGTTCAGCCGGAGCATGTAAACATGTGGGTCTCGTTATCACTCAGTGTAGAGAAAGCTCGTTTCAGTTTCAGCCCTGAGACCCAGCGAGGGCCGGGACACAGCAGCTGCCTTTGACTCGGGATGGAGGATGGACTCCTGACCACGAAAGAGCT